GACCAGCTAGAAGGTGACTATAACATAGTTCCAGTAAAAGAGGGAGGACTCTGAGCTCAGATGGAAATAATAGAAATGGAATTCTTTATATGCTAAGGCAGAGTTTTACTTTTTAAAATATTTCTGTATATTTCAAGGGAATTTCATATAAATTAACTGCCCAAATCAAGCCAAGAGGCCTCAATCATCTGAGAGACTATAAATGCCTATAAGAAAAGCTACTGCATTCCAAAATTTGTACACCAAAAGGGTTATCTGAGGCATAATCACGTACCAATTCAAAGGGTAGCATTCATATTCCAAAAGACACAACCTAGTAACTATCAGCCCTAGAAGGTTCATATAATTTCTATACTAACATTTAACAATGCTCTTGGGAAGTGACAAACAATCATGTTTTGAGGACAAATATTTTTTGCATTTTTTTTCTTTCCATCATCTTTATCAGTGCAGATATTTGCATAAAAACAGGATCACTGGTCCTTGGGGATTCATCAGTTCCTACTGCTTATTTTTCATCCATGTCATCCTCTCAATTAATGCAGGAAAGAGGATTTAGACATCGAAACACCAGATTAGGGTGTCAAGTAAAAGCCAACCCCTAGAGTAGATGAATAATCTGTAAGGACAAAAAAAATCTTGTTTTTATGCAAATACACTGCACACAACAAAACAGAGACTGTATGTAAGAAGTTCAATACACATCAATGTAATTGTTTCTAATTCTAAATTTTAAAACTATTTCGTGTCAGCTAAATTCACGATGGCCAAGGAAAATGGCAATCAGTTGCAAAGCACTGCTACGGAAATTGAAACAACACCAAATTTTGAACTAGAAGATAATTCTGAAAAATCTCAGCTGTGCTCATGGGACTCATTTGGCAGAAACAAGAATTCCTCTTGTACAGTTTTGGTTTAGTGCTGAAGGTGGCTGAATTAAATGGCTTCAAACCCCCACCCTCAAAGCCTTAAGTTTTTAGAAATATAAACAGTTAGCAATAATGATGGCTTTAACTGTGTGGATTTAAAAAAGTAACAATGCCACACCAAGTTTTTGATTCCGTTGAAAGCCATTAAAATAAACTTTACTGATGCTTAGGGAACAAACTCATTATTCTGAAAACTAATAAAGAAAGAAAAAGAATCATTTATCCTATCACGCCAGTAGGAGCAGCTTTCAAAGTAACCAAATAGTCGATAAGATAAAGTCTTTTTAGAAAAATTCTAGTCAATAAGAGAAATGACAGAATATTACTACCTTGCAACCTATAATAAAATAGCAAATCTAGACTGATCAAAGCCTGCTACTCTAGGTATAAGACTGATAAAGAATATTACAATGAATACATCTGATTGTCATAGTTCCACCTGCATTTTATTTCCCTATCATTTGTTAAACCTAGTCATTTGTTCTGTAGATTTTTCAAATTCTGGGTTTTATTGATTACATTCCTATGGTAGAGCTTAACATGTTCACCTATCCCTTTTTATTTCCTGATAGTTAGATCTAGAAACCATCAACTATTAATCTTAATATCACAAAAAGAAAGACCAGCACACATAATGTATCTAACACCAACTGTGAAATATTCTTCACAAAATTTAAAAAAAAAAAAAAAAAATCAAGCCTGTATCTGTGCAAGCTTCTAGATCTAACAATCAGCAGATAAAAAAGGGATAGGTGAACATGTTAAGCTCCACCACAGGAATGTAATCAACAAAACCCAGATTTTGAAAAATCTGTAGAACAAATGACTAGGTTTAACAAAGGACAAGGGGAAATAAAATGCAGGTGTAAGTATGACAGGCTAAAAAAGATTTCAGAGACATATGAAATACAGCATATGAACCTTATTTAGACCCAGACTCCAACAAATGAACTGTATAAAGACATTTATGAGTCAACTAGAGAAATCTAAACCCTGATTGGCTATTTGATAATATTTAACAGGTTTGTAAAAAAAATTTTAGGCATAATAATGAAACTACTGTTATATTTTTAAAAAGTAACAGTAGCCAGCCAGGCGCAGTGGCTCACTCCTGTAATCCTGGCACTTTGGGAGGCCATGGCAGGTGGATCACCAGGTCAGGAGATTGAGACCATCCTGGCCAACATGGTGAAACCCCGTCTCTACTAAAAAAAATTAGCCAGGCATGGTGGTGTGCGCCTGTAATCTCAGCTACTTGGGAGGCTGAGGCAGGAGAATCGCTTGAACCCAGGAGGGGGAGGTTGCAGTGAGCCAAGATTTTTTTGATTTTTTGTTTTGTTTCTTTGTTTTTTAAAGACTGGGTTTTTATCTAATGTTGCCTAGGCTGGACTTGAGTTCTAGGGCTCAGTCATCCACACTTCAGCTACTGAGTTAGCTGAGATAACAGGATCACCACTGTGCTTGGCTTTTTTTTTTTTTTTTTTTTTTTTTTCTTTGCGACGGCAGTCTCTCCTCTGTCCACGGTTGGAGGTTGGTGCAGTGGCG